AGGAAACTATAGGTTTGGTCAGGCCTTTGGGTGATAGATAAGAGGGAAAAGTGAGCAGAGAGAAATTGAAATTCCAGGCTGTGTCTCGTACGTGTGTGGAATGAAATTATACACCCCTCGTGTGGAATGGAAGCCATGTGCTTAGAAACTGACAAAAAGGTTTATAACCATTGAAATCCTTGGATACCCCAACATTAAGAAATTCAGAATGGCTCTGGAGTGGATGTCTGCTTCCAACCAAGATAGATTAACAGGAATATGCAACATCAGTTGTTGAGCCATTAAAAATCAAGCAAGAAATGATGGTGACCCCTGAGAGATGGGATACAACCAGGCTGAGCACTATGACTATCCTACCTCACCACCTGGAGGGAGTTTCCAGGGTGTGGCCCAGCAGGGCAACCCCAGCAGAGCCTGGTGAGCTCACTGAGTTCAGAGTCAGAGTTGGGAATACAAGGAGGTGAAAGCAGCTAGGTTCACAGGGCAGAGAACTGGAGAGGAGATTGCCACACACAGAGAGTTCTGGAGCTCTGCACAGGGTTTCCCGTGACTCTGCAGTTGAGTTCTAATCCGCACACATGTGAGGAAACTACCTGAAGTTGGAGAAAGATCCACTCAAAAAGATTAGAGGAAACAATGCCCAGAGCTCACAAAGGGCTGGGAGTAATGCTGTTTCTTCCAGGCAGAACGGAAAACAATAATTCTTGGAGCAATCAGTAGAGTTTTCAGACACTTTTAGTGTCAATATTAAAGCAAAACCGGCCCTAAGCTAAATGTTCTGAGCCCATCTGGCACAGCTTAAAAGCAACACCCCCAAAGACCAAACTGGTTCTAAGTAATTTAATTGAATCCCAGAGCAAAGCTCAAGAATATTTATAGGATACAAGAATATCCCTTTGGAGATACTAGTATGAAGTCATGTTTATTTTAATACATAGATAAATAGATACAGACATAAATACATGTATGTGTGTATCACGAGTTGGGATACATGCATATATTTCCCAGCTCTGTCCACTGAGAGGACCTAGGAGCAGTGACACCTCAGTAGTAACTAGCACACCAGGTCTTAGTTTCCAAATATATTGTCCAATTAAAGGAACGATAGCTAATTTTAGGACTCTGGCAGGGAAAATACAAAGTAAGCATGGAGCAAGAAGTGCTTAAAAAAAAGTAAAAAAAATTAAAAGGACACAGCAACCAATGTGAAAGAGCTCTCATTTGGGATAATTTGAACAACAAAATAAATAATGATAATACTGGTTAATAATTCAAAGAATAAAGAAAATCAATAGGTTCATGCTGATAATTAAATGGTTAAATAGATAAAGAAGATAGAAGGACCAAGTCTCTCTTACTGAAAAATTCCAAATAATATATGCAGAAGGAATGGAGGGAAATAGAAAAATCACCATCAGAACACCACTGTACTATTTGCTGCAGGCAAAACCCACTGAAGTGAGTGAAGAAATGGAATATTTTCATAGCCATCAAGTATCATCCCAAAATATGAATTCATGTCATGTTTTATCTTATGTCTACGCATTCTTTGATATCCCTCCCTTCAGGAAGTGGAACTTAATTCTCCTCCACTTGAGTATAGGCTGGACTTAGAGGCTTGCCTCTAATGAGTGCAGTAGAGAAATGAAAACAGTAACCAAGTGATTAAGGTTAATTAACACTAAGGGGAGAATCTGTTTCTTGCCTCTTCCGGCCTCTGGTAGCTGCCAGGACTCCTAGGCTTACGGCTGCATCACTTCAATGTCTGCCTCCAAGGTCACACTCCTTTTTCCACTTCTGTCTGTGTCAGTTTCCCTCTGCCTCCCTCTTATAAGGGTACATGTAATTGCATTAGGGCCCACCTGGATAATCTGGAATAATCTCCCCATCTCAAGGTCCTTAATAACATCTGTAAAGCGCATTTTTTCAAATAGTGCACCATTCACAGTTTCCAGGGGTGGGGACATGGATATCTCTGTGTGAGGCATGGGGGTCGTTATTCAGCCTACCACACCATGCAAAATATTTTGCTGATCAGTTTAGAAATTTTCATAGGTATCACTTTCCTGTAACACTGATGAATCAACTTTAGTCCTTTGTATGTAAATCTGTAACTGGCATTCTTTTCAGTGTTAAGCTTCCATGTCTGTCCCCTCACAGAAACTAGCTATGGTGGAGTCTGTGTGACCCCAGTGTGCTTGGGGGCTCTGTGCAAAGAAGACTGAAGAGGGAGCCTCTGCCTCACAGAAGCATGAGAGAAGCTCTGGTGGTGGACTTCTGCACTACGGGCTTCTGCTCAGCCTACCTTGCCCCACCTGCTCTTTAGGAAGCAGTGGAGTGGAAGAAGGAGAAGGAGAAGGAGAAGGGGAAAGGGGAGGGGAAGGAGAAGGAGAAGAAGAGGAAGAGGAAGAGGAAGAAGAAGGAGAAGGGGAAGGAGAAGGAGAAGAAGAGGAAGAGGAAGAAGAAGGAGAAGGGGAAGAAGAAGGAGCAGCGGCTGAGTCTCAGTCTATCAGAGTGCTTCAAGCCTGGGGAACAGGCACAACTAACAGCAGCACCACAAATTGGCTTAGTAGGGACCTGGTGACCTAAAGCTGGAGAATCTCTGTCCCACGAGCTGTAAAGAGAGTACAGAGTTCCTCTCTACCCTTCACGCAACTTTCCAAACTATTACCATCATGCATAACCAGGAGAGGTTGGTCAAAACTAAGAATTTAACATTGGTGCTTCTAAACACAAGCTATCCTCAGAGTTCCCTAGTTTTTCTACTGAGGTCCCTTTTCTGTTCCAGGATCTATTCTAGGGTACCACATAGCATTTAGATGTCACGTCTTCTTAGTCTCCTGCAATCCATGACGGTTCTTCAGTCTTCCCTTGTTTTTAATGATTTTGACACTTTTGAAGATTACTGATCAAGTATTTAGTATAAGATTCTTCAAATTGGGTTTATCTGATGCTTTCTAATGATTAGAATGGGGTTATCAATTTTTGGAAAGAATACCACAGAGGTGCAATAGCATCATAACAGCAAAACATTGCAATATTCCATCATGACAGGGAGCACATGAGGTTAACATGGCGTTATTAATCAGAGAAATATACTTTCCTTAGTGTGATTTATACTGGTAGTTTACATTTCCATGATTTTGTGTAGAAACTCCTTATCTACTATCAGAAACTCCCTAAGACACACGAGCTGCTGTTATAAAAGGTTTTAATGAGTTATGGATAAGCAAAATTCATAAAAAGTATTCAGTTACAAAACATCGCCATCTGGACTTGAGATAATTTCATCTGGTTTATATCCATGGAGATTCACTCAGGGTGGAATTTTCCTCTCTGAGGGCATCTTCTAAGAGGTGCTGGTCACTGACCAGAGCTCATTGGCACAACGAGAGCCGGTCAATGTCAAATGCAGCCAGATCAGGGATCCCTTCTCAGAGGTACTTGATGGGGCTGTTGCCTTTGGATTCGAAAGTCAAGAAATAGATTACATTAGAATATCTATATTCGCTCTATATAGTGCACTATTTGAAATTGAATAACAATTAAGTCAAATGTAAACATTTAAAGAAATTTGGATTGGAAGTAAACTAAGTCAGAAGAAGCAAATGGAAGATGCTGGTTCTGGAACTGAGTCCTTCTCAGATTCTATTTTTCCAAGTCCTTCTGCTTATTTTGTTATCATACATTAATCCAGACTGGCCTCTCCTTCCTGGCATCCTAAGTGTAGAGGGTTAGAAATTTTTATTTCCTACTTGGTCATCAAAGAAAAACTTAGTGAAATATAGTCATTTATCTACACATACATTTATTCATAGATGGGAAAATGGGCATTATATTATTATCAATGAACAGAGGCAAAAATAGTATTTCTAAAAGAGAGATGATAGAAGAGAAAGAAACAAACTCTCCAGCAGTCTGGGAACAGTGAGCATTATTTTCTTTATTTTGGAGTAAGCTCATCAGGGGGCGCCTTGCAGAGCCCTGTCTGAATGGTCTGCCTTGCAAGCTGTCTTGGGTCATCAAACAAAAAAAACTTCAATTAGTTGTGAATAATCTAATAATCTCGGGAGTCCGTATGCAGGAAGAAAGACAGGCTGTCTCTGTGTAACCTCTGCAGGGTTCCCACCTCACCTGGGCCAGGTTTGCACCATTTCCTTCATCATTAGAATCTGCTCAAAGGCAAAATATTTCCTTTATGACGACCTTTTTTTCTTTCTTACACTGCAAAATCCCAAATCAGCTAGGGTTGGGGTTGTGTGTGTGTTTTGTCCCTCTGGTAAATAAAAGAAAACAAAACAAAACAAAAACAGTGCAACAGGCACTGGTGCAATAGTTCCTGATTTAAACACATCTCAGGACTTGTGCATCATGGCAGAGACAAAATCTTGGTTACCACAGAGTAGGCCACACGGGGGCGCTGTGGAACTGCCGAGCTGCAAAAGTTTCTGGGGCAAAGCTACGGCTCTGGGAAGAGGAGGGTTAAGAAACAGCCTTGCTGGTGCTTTGATCCCTGAGAAGGCTTGCTAGTAGAGGCACTAATTTGCAGCTGTGCTGTCCCAGCCTGGAGCCATGAACTCCAGCTATGCAGTGGTGAGGGAGTCTCTCTGAGCTTGCAAAGGAAAGTGAAGTGTGTGGGGCTGGGAGGAGGCAGCCTGCATGCCCCGGGCAGGGACAGGTAGAGGGACACATGCCCCAAAGGAAAGCAAAGGAACTGTGGGGATGGGCATGCTGGCTAAATCCAGCCTAGCCTAGACCAGCCCAGTTCAGCCCCAGGCATCATGGGAGAAGCTTTGCAGCACAACGTAGGGTTACTGGATCAGCTAAGCCAAGGACCTGGCAAGGGAAGGCGGGCTCATGGGAACAAGCAGAGACAATGACATCAGAGCCGTGACATCACTGCCTAATCTCCAATCAGAGAAGGGACGCCGAGAACTTCATCTCTTAGGGGACCAGAACTCTGAGCACGGAGACTCCTGCCCAGTTCTGCTCCACCTGCCATGGGATCCCGGCTCCTGTGCTGTGCAGCCCTTTGTCTCCTGGGAGCCGGTGAGTCTGAACACAGTTGAAACCTCTGCTATGAGATTGCAATGCCTGAAATACGTGCCTGCCGGTGATGGCTGCAGCACGAGGCTTCCCTTGTGCTCTGCCACTAGCTTCTTTCTGTCTCCTCCCCAACAGGACCTATGGATTCTGGAGTCATTCAAATACCAAGACAACTGACTAAAGCAAGAGGACAGCAAGCGACACTGAGTTGTTCCCCTAGCTCTGAGCACGACACTGTATCTTGGTACAAACAGGCCCTGGGCCAGGGCCCCCAGTTCCTCGTTCAGTATTACAATGAGGAGGAGAGACAGAAAGGAGACATCTCAGGTCGATTCTTAGGGCGACAGTTCCCTGACCGAAGCTCTGAGTTGAACGTGAGCGTCTTGGAGCTGACAGACTCGGCCCTGTATCTCTGTGCCAGCAGCTTGGCACAGCCCTGTGTGATCAGCAGCCTTCAGCACAAAAACATTCTTGCCCCAGCTCAGGAAGTGACAGCGAGGGTGGCGGCTGCCAGTCAGACAGGCTCAGGCCCTCATGTATCAGACAGGCCTTTCCCAGACACTCTTCCTGCTGCTTCTGTATGCGATGTGTTTTATGCTCACAGAAATCATGAAAAATAAGTACTATTTTACCTGGTTACATTTGTGAGGGGAAGTAACTTTCCTGGGTCTCACATTTCATAACTGGCTGAGCAAAGAATCAAACTCAAGTCTGTTTCTCAACTCCTGTGGTCCCCCACCCCTAGAACTGTCCCTTCATCTGGCTTCCCTTTTCTAGGTGTTGATTAGCAGGACTGGGAAGGTCATGCATCATATGTGATTATCGTGACCTCTTTCCTGATAGCTTCAAGGAACATGTGACTTCAAGGCAAAGAATATCTATTGTTCCTTCATTGTGACAAAAAAGAAGGGCACACTTTTCTGCATTGTAGCTGCAACACGGACCTCGGTCGTGTGTTATCTTTCGTGGAGGCTGTGTGAGTAGGGAGGTTTCCAGATCTGCCTTCCCCGCTGCAGAGTAAAGGGATTGGGATATTTGCAAGGAAAAGTACATCTTCCGGTAAGTGATACAATTTCCATGAGGGAAAAGAACACAAATAATCGTTATTTCTTCCTTAGTTTCTTTTATTCAACAAAAATTTTTTGTCCTTACATTTTACAAGGTATTGTGTCACATAAAAAAGAAAATAAAAATGTGTTTCTAGCCTTTGAGAGTTTTAAGGTCTGCATTATTAAATGTATAATATTTACCTTAAACATTTGACTGTTTCTGTGGAAACGACCTGTCACATGAGTACAGGTCAATTACAGAAGTGCAAGCGCTGAGAACATTAATGCACAAACAGAGTTCAGTTCTGCTCCAGATAGAAGACTCACAAGAAAATCATGCTATCATTTATTGATGATTTACTATGTGCCAAATAACAGTCCTTCATTTTAAAAATTTATATTTGATTGGAGAAAAACCTAAGGGGCAAATGCATTTACTGTTCTCATTTTACAGATGAGGGAATGTGCCGTTGAGTGAAATAACTTGACCAAATCAAATAGCTATCAGGATGCAGAAGTGGGACTCAAACCCTGTCTGTCTCACTCTTCAGTCCCATGTTTGTAACTCGATGCGAGAATGCATTTTCATAAAGAGAGACGCCTACCTTCAAACCAGGCTGCTGTCCCCTATGTCCCTTTCAGACCTGCTGGGTCTAATGAAATCACTGCCAGGGATCAGTTTCCCCAGGAGAGAGTGGTGTAGAGAAAGAGCCCTGACAGGATGCCGTGTACACCTGGCTCTGATGCCAATTCCAACACTCGCTGCCAGCCAGGACCTGAGGCCAGTTTCTTGACCTGTGAGGCTAGATTTTTTCAGATGATTGGGTAAGGCCCGCCTACATGATGGAAGGTTATATACTTTAATCTACTGATTAAAATGTTAATCTAATGTTAAAATCTACCTATTTAAATGTTAATCTCATCCAAAAATGTCCTCTCAAGAACAACTAGAATGATGTTTAACCAAATATCTGTGCACCCTGTGGCCCGTTCAAGATGACACGTTAAATTAGCCATCATGCCATCTTTCAGGGTTGTACAAAAGTTTAATAAGTATAAAACACCCAGCACATAATAGGAATCTGTATAGATTCCTTTTGCTTATCTCTGACAGCCTCTTCCACCTTTTCTTATGTGCAAAGGTATATATGGGCAAATTTTGCATGAAAACCCTATAGTCAAGACTTCAGATGTCACAGAATTGGAAATATTTATGCCTGATGATTCATTACATGAAATTAACTAGAGCAGGTAACATACACCTCTCCTCAGGCCTTTTTAAATCCATTTTATTGACTTATGAATTATATACAATAAACATTACACACTTTAAATGAACAGATCAATTATTTTTGAGCAATATATATTCATATACTCATGTAACACCACTCCATGAAGATATAGAACATTTCCATCACCAAGAAAGTTCTCTCATGCCTCTTTGCAACGGCTGTCTCCATTGCTGACAACCAATGATATGATTTCTATAGCTGTAGATTAGTTTTGCTCAGGCATCTTTTTAATGGAAACTTAAAACTTCTACTCGTTCAAATACTTCCTCTTTAGTAGACAGCTAACCATTTAAGAGAGTTAGGTGCTTCTGGAAAGTGTTATGGTTAAAGAAGTCTTGGGAACCATGCCAGATATCTGATCCACATTAGGGCAATTCTATCCGGAGATAGACGGTGTGATAAAATGACCATCCAAAGGTCTTTCTAGCTGTTTGAAGCTGCTTTTATAAAATTTACTTACTCATTTTTATTCATTTCTTTTCTCATGCACCCATACATTCAAATTATTTTATAACGATATTTTGACAAATATTCGTCATCTCCAAGGAAATCATTTTGAGTTCCTGTCAGACACCCACATACAGCTAAGCTTCATGATCAAACAGTGTGTGCTGGGGCTGAGCAGACCACGGGCAATGGTGACTTCATTGAGAGATCATTCCACCTTGGGAGAAGGGTTTCCTTTGCCTTGACCACAAATGTCCATCCCACAAAGCACAAGCCTTGAGCTCAAAAATCCTCCGTTCTGCTCTGGCCTTGCCTGAGCACCAGTGTCCTGTCCTGTGTGTCCTTCTGTCTCCTGGACCAGACAAGTCCCATACACAACCGTGGAACCCACTCATGGGCTTGCCAGGCCCAACTTCAGGCTTGTTGCTGTGGTTACAACATCAGGCTCCTCCTTTGGTTCTGACTTTAGTTTCTGTGTCCTTCTCTCCAAGGCCTCCAAGATGCTGAGTCACCCACACTCCAGACATCTGGTTCTGCTGAAGGGAGACCAGCACACTGGGAGGTGACCACAGGTCCAGAACCATGTACTCAGGACCAGCTACATAATTTGCAGGGCCATTGGTTCAAATACTATTAAGAATATGAAGATCATGACAGCAGAGCATTGAACCAAGTACAGGGTCCTTCTAAGTGTGGGACTGTGTGTGACAAGATACAGTTTTTGAGCTCCGTGATATTTATTACTTAATTAATGGCAGCCATTCTTCACAAGGAGATGACCCCCAGAGAATGGATGTCTCAAATAAAGAACTGAGCATTGTTCGCTTACCCTGAAGTCTGCCACGTCTCCCCAAGTCCCTCACACATCTGTATTCCTTGGTGCCAGTAGGTCATCCACAGCGCTGAGCAGCGATCATCTTGTCACAGGGAAAGGTCAGTCACAGGTGTGAGGTTGTTCTGCTTGCTGCTGTCTCACCCCAAACCCAGGAACAAGTGTGCTGGGGAATATGAAGGGGCTGTAGCTGCATTTGGCAGGTCTCCCACGTGTCAGTGAATTGATAAGAAACAGAGCAGAACTTCTCCTCAAATGTTGGTGAGCCTGCCCCTGAGGTCTGGCAACTAGATACCAGGAGAATCACTGCAGGTGGAAGGACCTTAACAGGATGGCGGTCAATAAGCAAAGTAGAAACGGATACTTGAAGGAGCATTTGGGACTCATGAGTCAGAAAAGACATCAAAAAGCCACAAGGATTTTCAGTAAAATTCAATACTACAGACATACTTAGATGCATAAAACAAATGTGTTAGTGAAAAATTGTGTCACAGGAAAAATATACATAAAGTTACGAACTTTTTTGCAAAATGTTAACAACAACCTCTAACACTTGTGTCAATCCAGACAAATGCGTTCTTCCCATTCTAAGCTGTTCACTTGTCCCTTTTGCTTTGACCCTCTGGGGGAAGGGGCGTGGCCCCTTGTGACAGGTTGGCCCTGGGGCCCAGGCAGGGAGAGTGACATCTCAGAATGACTCCCAGGAGAGCCCCGTTCCCCTACCATCAGCACATAGACACAGAAGACCCCTCCATCCGTCCTGCTCCTGCCATGAGCAGTGGCATCCTCTGCTCAGTGGCCTTCTGTCTCCTGCAGGCAGGTGAGTCCTGGGCAGGGATTTTTTATGAGAGAAAATTTCCAGGTCTCAGTGCTGAGCCTTTCCCTGTGTCTGCAGCATCAGCTTCATCTCCTTCTCCACAGGTCCAGTGAATGCTGGCGTCACTCAAACCCCTAAATTCCAGGTCCTGGGAAAAGGACAGAACACGACACTGAGATGTGCCCAGGATATGAGCCATGACTCTATGTACTGGTATCGACTAGACCTGGGACATGGGCTGAGGCTGATCCATTACTCAGCTCGTGCTGGTTCCAATGCAAAGGGAGATGTTCTTGAGGGGTACGGTGTCTCTAGACCAAATACAGAGAACTTCCTCCTCATGCTGAAGTCCACTACCCCCTCCCAGACATCTCTGTACTTCTGTGCCAGCAGTTACTCCACAGCGCTGCACAGCTGACTCCTCTCTGCACAAAAAGGCAGGGCGAGGCCAGGCACCCCGGGACTCAGCCGAGCGCTTAGTCGACTCTTAGCCCCGGAGTCGGCCCGTGAGTGCAGTAGAACCCAGAGTGTGCTGAGGTCCGTCTCCAGGGCAGTCTCAGCCAGGCCTGGCCCTGACCTCAGGCGCCCGGGGAGACATTTCTCCACCGTTTCTCTCAGCCTTTCCTCTGCAGCTGTGTCATTTGTTGGGAAGGTGTTTCCGCAGCTCGGATTTTCTAGTCATGTGCCTAAGTCTGATGCCTCCAGGTTGGAAAGTCATTGGTAAGTAGATACATCTAGACCCCCTTGTCTCCCTGGGCCCCTCATTGCTGTCTCTCTCTAAGGTCCTCCCCCAGCCCTGGCCCTCACGTGGTCTCTGCTCCTGCCCACCATTCCCCTTGGGGGAAGTCATGCCAAAGGCCCTGCTGGGTCTTTCCTCTCCCCATCTCCCCGGCTCCAGCTTACACAGCTTGCCCTGCCCTCTCTCCTCCAGCTACCCTGTCAGTCCCTCCTCTCTGTCATATCCCTTCCCATCTCAGAGACTTCAAAGGCTATTTCCTTTGCACTGGACATGGACCCTTCCTCTCTGTAGTGGCCTACTCCTACTCGAGCTCCCATTCAAGGTCCCACCGTGTGGTCAGACACTTCTGGGTACACCTGTTTCCCATGTGAATTGTGGCCAGAGTTTGGATGTCTCTGTGCCGGATTTTCCAGGTCTCAACTACAAACTGGTCTTTCACGACTG